ACGGCCTCTACATACAAACACCATTACTTTACTACAGACGAATGCAAGTCAACTTACCACACTCGAACAAGATCACGTGTGCCGTGATTTTTGGTAGGAATTTACATGTTTGGCACGTTCGGCACCCCCAACAGAATGGTGTGATTTACAAGTGAAGCACGCATCTTTCTACTGCTGTAGCCAACACACTTATCTGATCAAGAGAATGGTCGACCATCACAGACGAATAAAACACACCAAAACCTTTCCAGCGTTTTCTTGGCGAATTTCAAATCAAGACGTATTAACCGTTATAGACCATTCTCTTATGGTACCCGTTAGAGAGGGGTGAAACCTTAACGATCAGCGATCTTTCACTTGCTTCTTATCGTCCACTAATGTGCACCGCATGATTCTCAGGCTACTGACTTCTCTCGTGTAATAGCGTCCATGCACGATACTTGATCCTTTCTCTCCCCCTCTTTACGACAAGCCGACAGACGAGAGAGATGGTTGCTGGGATTTCTTTCCCTCGTACTTCAAAAAAAAAAAAAAAGTATGGTCGCTGAATTTCCAAAAAGGATCGTCATGCTATATTTATAACTACCTAGAAAAATATCTTTCCCTTATAAGAATCCATTAGGTATATATTTGATACTTTACTCTCCCTTGCTTCTGTGTAGAATTAAGTTTATTATGTTGTAAACTTTGTAAATTATGTTTTTATTCGTTAAAGTATCTACCATAATACACAAATTATCGAATTGTAAAGCCGCATATGACTTAGTTGCTGTGTTGATGTACTACAGTACTGTACCATTCCACACTTAAAGTTTGCTTGATAAATTCAAATTAAAACATAATTTTTTAATAAATTTTTAAAAGTTATATTATTTAACGTCTTTTATAACGCTTTATAAAGAATTTTCCTTTATGTATATATTGAAGTTATCTTCCTACGCGCATCTTCATCTCATTCATTCTGTATTTATTGATGGGAGAAGGATTTTGTTACCCATTTTGAAGCTTAATAACTCCTATACCTTATGTCGAAAATTTCTGAAATTTTGCAGGAAGGTTCGCTTATTAGAGGAGTTTATGCCACTAAATTTTAGTAGTTAAAGGTCGAGGGGTCGGGGAGATAGAGGAGGTCAAGTGTCATATCTCGAGTGAGTCGGAATTAGTGAATTTACTCGTAATTACCATTTACAATTTTTTATAAACCAGTCTCTAACCCTCAAAATTAACTTTTCTTTTGCCATTTTATAATAATTAATAATATTTTTAAAAATTTTAAACAAATCACATAACAGATGGCGCCTTACGCAATTTTAACTGTTGCGGGAAAAGTTATGCAACTCGTTGTTGATTTTTTTAACATATTTTTAATGTTTTTTTTTTTTTAAATATATCTCAATTAAAAGAACCGAATCAAAATTCTAATAAAAATTCATATAGTAACTCTCTTGGATTAATACATTAAGTTACAAAATTAATTTTTCTTTTATTAGATTGAACATGTTCAACAATTAACTGATCTAATTAATATAGAAATATATATTTAGATATATTAACTCTACTTTATTAATATTGTATCCATTATAATTCGAATCGTTCAAGCTTGTAATTGCCTCGTAAAGGTGAGCTCTTGGTAGAATTTTAATCGAATTTTGATTTATTTTTACACCCTTTTTTTGTGAATTTCTGTATTATAATTATAAATTAACTAATGTTAATTATATTTAAAGTCATTTTAAATGTAAATTAAACAGTTTTTTTTTTGGATTTAGATGGGTCTATTTGTGTTTTAATGCTAAATATATAAAGGATATGGTTCGGTTCCTATTTATAAGTGAAAATAATTTTCCTAATTGATTTTACTACTTTCCAGGCTGTTATATATAAGAATGACCCTCAAAACTTTACATTTTTGGACTCGGGGGACCTTGAAATGTCGAGAAATACAAAAACTTTGGGAGTTTTTTTTGTGTTTATGGATAGGGGCAGGATTTTGTCACCCACTTTAAAGCTTTTCCAGAGCGAAAATTTCTGAAATTTTGCAGGGAGGTTTGTATATTAGGAGGGTTGATACTACTAAATTTTGGTGGTTAAAAGACCAGAGGTTGAGGAGATAGAGGAGAGTTACGTGTCATATTTTGAATGGGGTATATTTTTAAACAGTTATAAAGAACGTGGGTTCGATCTCTATACTAAACATATCGAAGGATGTGCTGCTGTTATCAAATACTACTTAACGATATATTTACTTAAAGAACGTGGGTTCGGTCCTCATTCGACTCAGCATGAATTCCACTAAAGTTTCACGAAAAATATATAACATTAATCAAAATCTTGATAAAGTTACAGTAAGTTAGTAGAGAGGATAACTACATAAGACATGGGTTCAGCTTATTTCTGATCGTCATGATAATTTCCTTTCTTAGACGCCTTTAAAAATTAGAGTCAATATTTAAATAATTACTGATTTTAGGGTGACATTTAAGGTGAATATTCCTCAAATATTCAAATGAGTATAAGCATAAAGCTTAGATAAAAGAGGGTGTATATTGGCCGTGGGTTCAGTCCTAACAAATTCGCTTTTGCTTTGATAACTAGAAGGTCGGTTCCTGTGATTGATGACGAATAGGAAATGACATTGTCGTCTTTCTTGTACTTCTAAATAGGGCCTTATATACTACATTAACTCAAAGGTTGTCGTGGGTTCAGTCCTGACAAATTCCATACACTTATATATCTGCTGTAGCTACTTTAAGTGAAGACTGGTTTATAAATTAGATAATACTGCGTGTTAATCACAGATTATTGCACAAATATCTTAAAAATTAATATAAAAAACAACTTTATAAGTTAATTTAAATAATATCGAAGACAGAGTAACTTTTTTTAAGAAGTATTTTCTTATATTTAATGCGATTCAAACACCATTAAGCAAACTAAATGACTTTCTCATAATGGTTGACATTCGTATGCTTGCAACAATTACATTAATCGAGTTTAAGAACCTAAGAATCTTAAGGTTTCTAAACTCAATTAATCTTTGACTTGAATTAATCTTCAAGTTATTCCTATTAAAATTATCAAAATATTTTAATGGAGATTTTAAGTAAATTGTTTTGAAATACTTTCGATGCTTTCTTATCGAAAAGTTTACGGACAAAAAAAAAGTATGTTTAAAAAACCATATTTTATCGTATCTTCTCCCACAAAACATCAAGTTAAAGGTGCTTTTCCTTCCTAAAAAAACGAGTCAACGTTACTTCTTCTCCCCAAAAATAACAAGTTAAAGATGCTTCTACCAAAAGAGCAAGTTAAAAGTGCTTCTCCCCCAAAAATAACCGAGTTAAAGATATTTCTCCCTTAAAAAAACGCCAAGTAAAGGATGCTTCTCCCCAAAGAAGATCAAGTTAAAGATGCTTCTCCCCAAACAGAACCAATTTAAAGGTGCTTCTCCTTTTAAAAAACGCTAAGGATGCTTCTCCCCAAAAAAAGACCAAGTTAAAGGTGCTTTTCCCTTAAAAAACACCAAGTTAAAGGCGATTCTCTCCCAAAAAAAAGACGAATTTTAAGATCCTTTCCCTAAAAGAACCAAGTTAAAGGCGCTTCTTTTCACCAAAAACTAGTTGAAGTTGTTTCACCTCCCCAAAAATAAGTTAAAAGATGCTTCCCCAAAAAGTTAGAGGTGTTTCTCTCCCCCCCCCAAAAAACGAGTTAAAAGTGCATTTAACATAAAGAGAATACTTCACAAGGGTGTAGAGAAGTGGAAAATTTGTTAAGCATAGTGTTGAAAGCCATTAAAAACACCAGAGTTTAGTAATTAGTATAAAATAAATCTTTAAACGCTTCATTAAAACGTCGCGATATTACCCTAAACAATATGGGTTCTGTTTATTGATTAGGTTAATGTTTACGCATATCAAAATGCATTTATATAAAAGAGCAATTGCTTTAATGTTTAACACGCTTCATTTATGGGGTGCTTATCCCGCACGTTAATACCATAACTTTGCTTGCATGTGTTGAAGTTATAGGGTCTACGTTGTATATGATCGACTTAGTTACTGCTTCACATATTGAGATTTAAGTCTATATTTAAGTTTTATATATATTTGTATATTGTAATTCGAGGTGAGTCCAGTAACATTAAAGTAACAGTAAAGGAAAGAATGAAATTAATACATTAAAAAAAAAATACTTACTTTCTGCTTAGATTGGGCTGATTTTTAATGTTTTATACATCAAAAATTATGAATTTTAATATTTTATTTAGTAAAAAGTATAAATTTTAGTGTTTTATACAGTAAAAAGTGTAAATTTTAATGAGTATTATAACGTTTCCCAACTTTTTTACAATTAGGGAAACTTTAACATTATTTTAAATAGGCAAGAGTAGATCGCGGACTACTGATTGGAAATTTTTCTTACTATTTAAAAATTAGAATTATTAAAACAAAATTTATTTATTATAAAATTTAGGATTTTGAATTAAATTTAAGCATTTATAAACCTACTCAGAACAATTTTACGTGTAAAACTTTAAAGAAAAGACCACTTTATAAGAATTTATTAACAAAATAAGCTTCATCATGCACTCTATGACTTAGAAATTTATAAGATTCACCACGAAACTACAGATTCATCATACATTATTATTACTCTTAACGTAATATACTAATGCATACATGACAATACGAAATTCCTCCTAACTCCTAACAAAATTTCCCAATAGAATATATAATTATTTACTCATTAATGAGTTATATACCTCATTATCCTAATGATCTAAACCTATAACAGTTACCAAAAATCATTTTCTTAGATCCATTGACCAACTGCTTATAGCATTAAACAATTGATTATAAGAGGCCTTCCATTCATTATAATTCGCACAAGTAACGAAACTATAAAACTATAGTCTATATATATATATATAGGCCTATATTTAATGGAGAATTTATTTAATTTAAAAGATTTGTAAATAAAATCAGAAGAATTTTTCTCACCTGAGGTAATCTCTCTTGCAAAGAATGAGATTAGCCTTAGTGAATAGAGTGGAACCCACTTCTCCCAGTCTACAGTCGCAGCAGGCACACTTGAGGCAATCTTCGTGCCATAATTGGTCTAATGCTTTCAATAGATACCTTTCACGTATTGGTTTCTGACAGCCAGAACATTCGGGTCCTGCGTGGTTCCTGTTAGTATCGGGTTTACTCGTTGCTATCGAAATGGTTGATCTGCAATGGCTTTCTGTTGCCATTTTAAATGGACTGGAAAAAAATTCAAAACACGTTATTATCTGACTCTACCCTTCTCCTATTCCTCCCCAATTCTGGGAGGAAATAAATAAAATTTAAAGAATTATTGATAAACCGGTGAAAAATTCCGCGAGAATCTTGTATTTAGTAACATTTCGCGTAAGGGGGTGTTGTCGTTTAAATATTAATGTTTTCTTCTGTTAATTTAGGCCTAATTATCGGACTAACTTCACTTCAATTCTATAATTTCTGGTATTAACGTATAGTTTCTGGTACTAACTTAAGTTTAATGTATAGTTTTTGGTGCTAACTTGTGTATAATTCCATACTTTGTGGTACAAACTTGTGTATAATCCCATACTTTGTGGTACTAACTTGTGTATAATTCCATACTTTGTGGTACTAACTTGTGTTTAATTCTACACTTTGTGGTACTAACTTGTGTTTAATTCTACACTTTGTGGTACTAACTTGTGTTTAATTCTGTAGATTGTGGTACTAACTTAAGTTTAATATACAATTTCTGGTACTAACATGAGTATAATTCTATAATTTCTAGTCTAAACTTCAGTTCTATAATTTTTGTTAACCTATAATTTAAGTTTATAAATCTATAGTTTATGATACTAATTAAAATATAATTGTTTACATTAAAGTTTATGCATTGTATTTAAGAGTTTAATTTAATTATAATTATTTATTTTTTGTTAACAAATTAAGTTTAAATTAAGTTCAATAAAAAGAATTTAACTTATGTACCAGCTTAATTTAGTTCTAGAGCGCTGACTTTCATTCAAGATCTATATGAAAAACTATGCAAAAGAGTTTATGTAAATTAATGCCAAGTTAATAATTTATAAATTATAATTTTCTGACATAATTTTTATTAACTTGGCATTAATTTAATTCGCTTCTTAGTTACTCTCCACCATAAAAGTCGAAGATGTAACGAGAGAGAAAGATGGAAAATTAGCAAATATAGCGTAAAAATAAGGCAATTAAATTGAATTTTTCTTTCTTTATTATTATTATTTTTTAAGGATAAACATACAAAATAACAACTTTTATTAATTTAAAATGTATTTTGTGTTTTCTTTCTTACGCAAACAACGTTGCTCTCACTCAAAGGAGAAATAAGTTAAAGATACATCAAGTCAAATCTACTAATAAATAATTACTCATTTTCTTCACTCCTCAATAACAAATCTTAAAATATTGAGCAAAAAAAAAACAAAAGAAAAGTGCACGTTTACCAAACAGAAATTTAAAGTTTTATATCCTTTATCCTAAGGCACACTTAAACAAAAGAAAAAAAACGTAAAACATAGATAATTAGCTTGAGTTTCTTCACTCCTCAAGAATATGATAGAGGACCCCTAAGGCATATAAAATTGATAAAGATTATTCTATCCTAGAAGAATTTTAAAAGATATAATTATGGAAGAAAAATGCAAATTTAATATAAGAAAAGCTTGTAAAATTCTTTAAAAAAAAAACAGGGGATCTAGTAGATAAGTAGAATCTTCTCCCTCTCTTCTTCTTCTCCTCCTTCTTACCCCCATTCCACAAGAACAAAGCTTAAGATACGGGGTACAAAACCACAATCTTTATCTATCCACCCCTGGCAGAGTTAGAAGATAGTGGAAGAAGGTAGAGGCGCCAGACACAACATGACACGTATGTAAGTCGTGTGACGACTTGCGTAAAAATCTGTCACGGGCCAAGATACCAGACAACTGTAAGATTTTACATATCAAACTGGCTGATACATTACAGAATAGGGGTAACAAGCAAATCGAATTTTCACAGAAACCCATTTTTTCCACCACCTTTCAATTATGATGACTGCCCCGTCGACTGTCATTCCTACCAAAATAAAAAAAGAAGAAAAGAATAAAAAAAAAATAGGGAAAAAAGGAGAGGAGGAGGAAGAGGAGGAGGAGGAGGAGGTTAGTACGATAAGGCTCATGCATTATGCCTTCTGGATAGAAAGAATAGGCAGGCTTAAGTGTGTGGTAGTTTTTGGAAGGTGATGGATTGTTTGCGGTGAGGAATTTGAGAAGACATCACAAAAGCTTCCATATCGAAGTGTCTCCTTTCCAAAAACGTCTCCTCATAAAATTTCTATGAAGCTTTGAAATAATGGCGGAACCGCGATGATCGTTGCCTCTCACATGGAAGAAGATAAAGTCACAGTTTCCGTTTGTCTGATAAAACGACCATTCATCTTTCCCCAGGTGGCACCGCCAACAATCCTGGATTTTTCTTGCTTCAAATTGATAGTTCTGCTATGAATTTCATTAGGGGTAATGTGAACGTTGAACGAGTAAAACGATATAAATGGCCGATTTATCGGAATTGTGCGCTTGATGTCATCTTTCCGGTTGTTTGGCAAATGGATGCTGCTGAGTTGGAGTTTTAAGTCCGAGGAACAGTCTAAGTTAATTGATGATGATTTCGATTCCTGATTATATGTCTTATTTATTAATTTTTTTTTTACATTTCTTCTTATCTAGAATACCTTCTATTTTAGATTTTATACGATTTTAAGACAGGAATAGAGTAGATTGTGGCAAAACTCTTCGTGTTATAAACTTATTTTTCTAAAGTTTTTCTGATTATAAATTTTGTCTGATTGTTTCCAACTTTCTTCTTTATCTAGAAAACCTTCTATTTTACTTATTTTTAAGCATTTATTTGTGATTTTAATACAGAAATTCCAGTTAAATTAGGATATAAACTCTACCTTTTGATCAAATTTGTTAACGTCTAGAGTTTTAATGTAAACAACTTTACGAATTATTCTACAAAATAACATATTTTCAGTCATTTTATAAGTTATTCTTGATTTTCCTTTCGTTATTTCATCTTTTATTTACAATTAATCCTCCATTTTGAGAGCACAACTTGATTAAATTTGCTTATTTCTATACATTTAATTTTTACATCTTCGGAAAATTATTGTAGAAAAGACCTTTCTTTAATCAGTTTTATATCCTATATTCCATTTAACTTTGAATTTAAACACTAGAAGAGGCTTAATCCTAGAGAATTTCCAACTTTAAACGTTACAAATATACAGATTTTTATTTAAATTTTAAGCATTTTTCTAGATAAAACGGAATTTCTAGAAGGTGGATGAGGTAGATAAATGATTTTTGCGTATCTTCTCATCATCTCAACCTTCTCCTTGATCAATTTACTATTTAAAATATGGCGAAAATTAACTTATGATAGGTAAATCCTGCATAGAAATGTGAACGGAAACAGGAAAAGGCCGTCACTGGTGTTTGATAGGTGATAAAGGGAGGTAGAAACAGGAAAGAAAAGGTCAAACAAACACGGAATAAGAGAAAAAATAACGCATAATTATGAATACATTAAAGAAATAATGAAGTGTAGAGAAGGTGTAGAGAAGGGCGAGAACACGCGGATGAGATTGACGTTCAGAGCAGTGACAGAGACAAAACAGGATGGATAAGAGAAGAGCAGATAGAAGAGATGAACAGGATAGGAAGATAGAAGAGAACAGACAGACACACACACACACTCACTCACACATACGATAAGGTAAAACAGCGTAGTCACGGATAATAGGGAGTATCGGGAGATAGTCAAAAATTGATCACAATAAAAATGAGGAAAATCAGCTATCGTTATGGAGAAATTTAATTAAACGGAATTTTCAAACCGAATTCACATTTAAAATCAACAGTTTGACAAGCAAACAAAAATGTAATTTTCACGGAAAGAATCTTTTAATTACGTTTTAATCAAGCAAACGACACGTTTTCATTAATGGGAGGGAGGAGGGAGGAGGGAAGAGAGAAGGGGAAGGAGAGGAATTCTTAAAATATCGAAAAATCTAGGAACCGTTCGGGGACGAAATGTATAATAGTGATTGGTTATTTTGAAGAATTCTTTGTAAAATTCAACTTATTCAATTCCGAAGCAATTATTTGTTATGAAGAGTGGGATAAGTTCGGATGACACAATGATTTATATCCAATCTAAATGTAATGACTATCATACCCAGGAGAACAGACGCATTTGACTATCTTCTTTTCACTTGTTTCAACTTCCTCTAATAAATTGTCTTTTCTTGGCCAATTGTAATAATTCAACAAGGCTGTTGCGTGTGTCTGCACTTCCATTTTTACCATTTTTTTTTTTCTTCTTCCAATTTTTGAACTTTTTTTCCCGTTCTAACCTGAGGAAAACTGAGGAGGATGGGCATCCGGAGATGCGGAGAACCCTCCAAGACTAGGATTTAACACCAAGAGCGTCGCTAATTTAGAAGTTTTCAAACTGGATGCGGCCTTTACAGTTTAACTAGAAATCGGTATTTGGAAGGCGTAATGTTTAGTAATGGCCTATTTCTTCAGAAATATTAAGGAAAATATAAATAAAAATTAAGTTTTTATTCGTTTTCTTATGAGGAACAACGTTAAGATGATTTGCAAGAAGAGAGAACTTCGATATAACTTCGTTCTGGAGATTTACATGGGAAAATATGTAAATATTTTAAAATTTTAATTGTCGATTTAAAAAATGTAGACGTTTCCATGCGTATTTTCGATTTTTCTACGTTTTTAATTTATGGAAATCCATAGAAATCGGTTATTAAAGAAGCGAGAAGAGATGTTGACACACGCTAATTATGCAAAAAAAATTAGTTTTTTTCACGTTAAAAAAATTATTAGAAACTGTAAATATAACATATAATAAGTTAGAATTCATTATGGAAGAGATTGATACACGGATAAACGATGTTGGCAGGATAATAATCCAGAAAAGATAAGTAAGATCACATGATACAAGATGAGGAACAAGACAGATAGATGCGGAGGATTCTAAGATAAATGGAAACATTCTGCAACGTAGAAAAGAATTAACAAGATATACGTTTACTTAAACGATGGAATTTATATAGAATTAAGATATTTTATGCAGAAATATAATCGCGAACAGTTCCTAAAATCATATATTTAGAATCGTATAAGGATATGTTTGAGTCAAAATAGTGATTACTTAATGCCATAACGCCGTGTTGGGGCTTTAAGGAGTGCATCAATTGACAATGTGGCCCCAGTAGAAGCATCATACATCTGCATTAGAAGGCCGGTAACAAATTGACTGGTTGAATCCTTCTCAGCAAGATAAAACACTAGGATTTAGTCCGAAAGACAGAACAAGATGAATTGTTGGATAGGAAAATGTCCGAATTTTATCGTCCCTTTGTAAACCCGCTTACATATCTACCATGAACTTTACTTAATATTCTTGTTTTTCTCTGAAATCGCTTGAATTTCGCCTATATTTTTACCATTAAAATATAATCGAAGTCTCTCTAAAATCCATTAATCAATAGAAAAATTCAATACGTAAAGTAGGATTTCATGAAATTCTTCACAAAAATTATACATATGAAGGGTTAAACCAATGAGGAAATCTTCAGAAAGCTCTCAGGCCAGCTCAGAAAGATTTCAATTAGTATAAATATGTAAATAAAACTCATTAAAAATTAAAATATATATATTTATATACACGTAGTCCTTAGTTAATTATATATTTATTACTAATTTCGCAGCACATAACTCATAAAACTCTAAGAGAGATGATAAAATTAACGAATTTAATGATAAATTTGTTGGATTAATTTACGATTTTTGAATTTAAAATTGAAGTTTCTTACTTTTTTTTTTTTTACTAAAATATAACAGATTTTTTTTGCTAAGGAATTATGTAGAGGAGCGAAAACTTTATTAATTTGCTCGTAAAAGTAACCCTACTTTCATATGCAAATTACGGAAGAAATGGACAAGATCCAATCCAAATTCTTCTTTCTTGGCGTTGTAAGATGTTATAATTATCATTTTTTCAATTAAAAATAATATTTTCGACAAGCAGAATCGAGATTTTCAGGAAGAATTCTTATCTGCTTCTTTCATCCCTGGCTGAAAAAGTTTTTAATCTAATGAAAAACGAACAGTTCCTCAAGATCCTTTACGATCTTTTATCGTTAGAAAAAAACCTCCAACTACTTAGTTTCATTTAGCAACTTCATAATATTTCTATAATTCTCCAACCTTTTAAGACATAACGAGCCTACGCCTTTGGAAAAAAAGAAAAAGAAAACAATGTATAAAACGATATTAACGAACGACCCTCGACTTGATTACAGTTAACGATCATGTTTGTAAGTGGCCCACATGGCATTGTGCCATAACTTTCAATAAACTTCTATGAAACTAGTGTGTAACCAGGTGACCAAAATCGGTCATTTGATCCCGATAAGACGATCAAATTACGTAACTAAAGCAATGGAAGCAGCAAACAGCAGCAGCAGAAGCAGCAGCAGCAGAACAGCGCGCGTGATTCATCAAGGAAGAAAGAAAGAAAGAAAGCTTTAGCTTCGTTCACCCAAAAATTCCTCCCTTTTTTTTGTATATATATCTATATATATATTATTATTAAACTATTGGCTCGATCTTTTATATGATGGATTTCAGTTTTGACTGAGATTTTAATTATAAAGTGTCGCAGAGGATGACAGCACCAGCGGCAAGCTATGATGGATTGGGTGACTCTATTGTCCACAGATTAGCAACACACCATTTCACCTTTTCCAAGATGCCGGAGTGATGAAAGAATCACAGGGCCGATAGCGAAAGCTAGAGATGAGAGAAGTAGGTAAGGCCTAGTTAACCCTAAATAACTTACTCTATATCGCTTCTCTTCTATTGTGTGAAGAATGGAGGAAAGGAGACGAGCCAAAGGAGGAGGTGGAAGAGGAGGAAGAGGAGGAGGAGGTAAAGGAGGAGGAAAGTAAAATAAAATAAAATAAAATAAAAAAAATATATATATATAAAAAAAAATATCGAAAAGTGAAAACTTAAATCGATTTTTCTCACTTTATGTTCTATTGTTAAACACGGTGTTTTAATATACGGCTATTTAAATGATCGTTTTTTGGCCGCTTTAAAATCGCTTCTCCGCTTTAAAAATTGGTTATATTAAGAGAAAATCAAGTAAAAATACATCAAAGAAGTGTTTTGATGCTAATTTTCGATCGAATATTGAATTAATGATGCGCTAAGTGCGTTAGTACCTCGTACTAACGCACTTTGTGCTATTGATTCCAGTATTTTTATGGGTATACCAGCGCAAGTAACTGTAAAAAAATTAATAAAAATTAGTAATAATTTTACTAATTTATACACATTACTTCCTAGAATAATTTTAAAGTGTTATTAGTAAGCAGAATTATTTATATAGGGCCTAAATCATTTATATGAGCACGAAACGTAAATATCCCGCAAAGGGACCGTAAATATAAGTTTTTAGGTTTATAGAATTTATGTAAATTTAAGAAAATAATAATTATAAAGTAAATTATTAAAAACTTTTGCATTTTTATATAAATTTAGATAATGAGATTTGACAAGGGTAAGGTATTATATTATTTTAAAAATAAGTTTATTTTGCGAAATAAATTATATAAAATATTGTTATTATTTATGCAATTTTAAAAAGAGATTAATTTATAAATTTTAAAAGAATATACAAAAGAATTTTAATCGTTTATTACGGGCTATATGCCCTGGTTAATTTATTATCACAATTAGTAACGAAATTAATCAATAGATGGCGCAATGAGAATAAAAATAATCACCCACCGAAAAAATCTAATAAATTAAATATATAACGGTTACAACACGCGTCTAATACATTAAAATCAAAATAAAAATCCGATAAGCAATATAAAAATGCCTTTACGAGAATTTAATTAACAACCGTCCATTTTTAAAAGTCTAAAATATTAAGGCTTCATAATTAGCCGCGTATAGAAAAATTGCTAAGGATTCCATCAGCCCGTTAAGTCTGACAGAAAGAGCGAATGATAGCCCACTACAAGCAGGTGACGTGTCAAGTAAAGGTCACGACCCTGTCAAAAACATTCCCTCGACTTTTACATCGTCTGTCAACCTGTCCCGGAGCGACAGCAGCAGCGAGACCCCCTAATTTTGGACATGTCAGACAACAGGAATTTATCCTCTCTTGTTTTTTTTCCCTTCCTCATCTCTCTACTTATCAATTTAAATAGCCTATAAAGTAGGGGACCTTCTAGTTATTAATTGCAACTCTCTCAAAATATCGGTAAATGCTTTAGTTAAATACAAAATACCCTACTGTACTTTTTTAATTACATTGTTATAGTAAAATATTGTAAGTATATTAGAAGCCTTACCTTTTGTGTGGCTCCCCGTATCATTTGCTGTTTGGATAGAGACAGCAGTCTTGCACCGTCAAGCACGCTGTACCGAATGCTGTACAGACTTCAGTTTTTGTTCTGCTCGTTGGCGATGATTCGTTGAATTTTGATAGTTTGCGCCTGCGTGTTATCTGTTCCATGTTTGCGAAAAGTTTTGTTATAGTAAGGGTAACGTTTTCTTCCACAATATTATCATTGCTTAAATTCTTTTAATCTTTTCTTTAATATTTAATTATTTTAAAATATTTTTTATAAAATATTTCAAGGTATAACTTATTTATTATTTTTCATTTACGTATATTTAAATCGATTATAAAATTTATTTTTAAAATTAATTTTGTTTTTAAAATTTAGTTTATCTCTTTATTTATCCAGGTGGCACTCTTACGATATCGGCTGACATATTATTATTTATTCTGTTAATTTTTTAAAAATTTTTATATTTTAAAAATAAATAATTAATGTATTAATTATTAAATATTATTTAT